CTTCTTTAGTTTCTCAGCTGTTATCGATAACAAGTATTATATATGTAAGGTTATCGGTTTGTGCTGGTTGCCTACTCGTTAAAGTGTTTGAGTTGTTAACAGGGTATTCGAACTAAAACATTTTGGCCAACAAGTTCTACAAACAACGTCGACGACGACGTCGACGACGATTACGAAGCTTGCTGTCGCTGCTGACGTCGACGGCGACAGCGAAGGCGACGCCGACTGCGGCGCATTGAAGCGTGTTGCTATCGACAGACGTCGCCGTCGACGTTGCTGCTGCTTTAGTTGTTGTTGTTGTTTTTGTGCACTTTTGGCTTGACTTGGGCTTGGACTTGGGTCTTGTTGGGCTAGCGGAGCTGTAGGCGTGGCTGGCAGGGTGGAGAGAAGAGGGGGGGTGGGCGGTGTCGGAGGGGTGCGGGGGTGTCACTGGGGCTAAAATAAAAAGCATTGATACAATTTATAAATGACTTTGCTTTGTATCTATCACAAAATGCTAGCCTGCTGCTGCTGCTGCTGTTGCTGCTATTGCTGTTGCTGCTATTGCTGATGTTTTTGGTTTTTGTTTTTTGTTTTCTTCTTATTTTTATTAATTTTTATTTGCGATTTTGGTTGTTGGTATTCCATAGTCAGATTTCAGTGCATAAAATAGCAATTTAAACGTTTACTTGTTGTGTGTGCGACTGACTGTGACTGTGTCAATGTGTGTGTGTGTGTGTGTGTGTGCTGTGTGTGTTGTGTGTGTTGTGTGTATGTGCGTTTTTGAAAATCGAAAGCAAGGTCTTTTTATTCTGCGCAAAACACGCAGACAACAACTCAGACAGACAAGACGGACGGCCAAGTTGCCTTTGTTGCTGCTGCTGCTGTTGCTGTTGCTTTTGTTGTTGTTGTTGTTGTTGTTGTTGTCTTCTGTTCTTTAAGCTCCACTTTTAGTTTAGAACGTAATTTATATATGTATATGTATATTGTGCATATATCTATATATCATTTTTTAATTAACGCCCCAAGTCACATGCCGCAAACATACGCAGCCCAAAGGAATTCGCATGTCGTTTTCTGCATTTCTGGCTTAAAGCCTTACAGGCCGCCCTTAAACTAATTTTAACAGCAAAAATACAACAAATGTTTCTCCGTCCGACTGTCTTTCTATCTGTATTTGTCTTGAGTTTTGTTTGTTTCCATTCCATTTCACTAGCTGCATCTCTTTTGCGTTTTGACACGTGTCGGTCTAATTGCAATTAGCGTTGTGCCTCAACTAACTACCAACAACTATTAATAGGTAGCAACAAACACTCTGACACTGATACACACAAACAGATAGCTATTGTTGTCAAGGGCGTTGGGGCACAAATCTTCGATAAGCAGCAGCAGCTCCCCCACTTCATAAATATAACTGTGAAATGCATCCTGTTTGCTTGTGTGTTTGCTACTGATAATAGCAGAACGCAACAGTAGCTATATATATATATATATATATATTTATATAATACTTGAAGTCAAAAACACTTGAGTTCAGCGTACTTTTCTTTTACTGCTCATTTGTCTTTGTTGTACAAATAAAACATTATATAAGTGAACATTTCTTTATTGTATTATAAAGTTATCATCAAATATTGATCCAATCAAATATATACAATTGCTTGAAATCTGATTAAATTTCTATATATCTATATATATGATAAGACTGCAAATGTGCATCCAAGTAGCATAATAATGTAGATAGTTTTTAGATCATAATTGAGTTTTCAACTGTACATTTCACAGTTGCAGAACTTTGCCGAAAAATCTTATAAATAGTGAAATACCTTTACACCTCACAATCAATATTGATAAGAATTGACGCTAAATTCTTGTTAACTTTTACTTACATTATGTACATGTACATTAATGTACATAAATATGTACTTATCGAATTCCTATGATATGCTATAGGAAATGTATAGCTAGAAGGCTAGATAAGATAAAGTTCAAAGTGTTGTTCATAATTTCAAAGATGACAAGTGTATATATAACTTGAAATAATCCCATATCTCGAAGTTTATAAGATTTTATCTGCAAATACATGTGAAAGACAAATCTTAGCCATAAACCAACATTTTATGAATTTATTTTACCAGAATTTCCAGTTGCAATTTAAACAAAATAATTAGCAAATCAGCAAACAGTTCATGTAATGTTTTTTTGTTTTTTGTTTTTTGGTTTTTCTTCTCTCATAAACCCAATCCACTGATTTGTCAATCAGCAATCAAAATTAACTGCTGGAATGCACACAATAATTATGGAAAATGTTGCCTTTGGTATTTCGTATTTAATAAGAATTCGTTAGCAGAGCTATAAACTTTTTCATTGCCATTGACTTTGACTTTTGATTATAGTCGTTCTCGAGGCATTGACTACAACAAAGTAAAAGAGGCTACAAGTCTACAATCTATTTATATATGTATATGTATGTCTATGGCTTTAATTATATTAAATGAGTAGGTAGCGCATGATAAATTAGCCAATGTCACCAAATACGAACTAATTAAAAAGATGATTGCCATGGATAATAATTAAAATCAACTTCTCCATGTTGTCTTTCAGTAGTCAGCTTTGATAAAAGCAGGATACTCCATAATTTTTGTTGAAATTTAGCTAGCCAACCATTTTAGAAAATATTTCTATTACCTTGCAGATTATACCCTTAACATTTTTCCATATGTGTCAAAATCAAACTTGAGTGCAATATACAATTTTATTATGATTATTTTTTTGTTTGTTTGTTGAATGCCTCTCAAGTAGCCAAGTGTCTGTCAAATTTGCTTAAGCAACATGAGTTGCACTTGAGCAAGAGATGTTCACACTACGTATACGCGATTTGTATGGTATTTCAATGCATTTCGAGAGATTTTCGAGATTCGAGTGAAACAAAAGAAACAAAACAAGTAAAATAAAATAAAAAGCAATTTCAATACAAAATTCAAATAAAAATAAAAATAGTTAACTTCGTGCAAATAAGCGATGCCAAAAAATAAGGTGACAAAACTCGCAAAAAAATAACAATAAGAGAAAAAGAAATAAAACAAAAATAACACTCAACAAAGGTTTCATTTGCAATTTTTACAGTTGCTTTTTGTGGTTGGGGCGCTAAGCTTTTTTTTCGCATTGGGTTGTTCTTGTTTTAGATTTTGTTTTTGCTTTTGTTTTGTGGCTGCTATTTCGATACGCGTTCAAAGTGAATTGCATTAATTACGTACACACACACAAACAGATACACACACACACACAAACAGATACACACACACACACACGCACACACAGACAGTCAAACATAGGCATGTGTGTGCTTGTGCACAATATTTATTTCTAATTAATTTAATTTTTGTTTTCGCTCGCTGTTTTGTTGCTGTTTTGTGTGTGCTGCTGCTGCTGCTTTTTGGTAAGCGCTCCCAAACATGTACACATACCTATCTGTGCATGTGTTTGTGTGTGTGTATGTGTGTGCCTATCTGTGTATTTTTGCTTGGGTCGCTATGCTTTGGGTCGCGCATGAATTGAAAAAAAGAACGGCGCACGAAATTCGTATAAGTAAACTTTTAGTGCAAAGCTTTGCGGCCTGTCGTCGCTTTGTGTGTGTGTGTGAGTGTGAGCACCTCTGACGTAATTGTGCTGCTGCCGAAGCCGAATCGCCAAACGCACCAATACACACAGACACATACACATACACATACATATCTAGGAGCACCAAAACAATGAGCGTGTACAATTTGTTGCTTCTTTGCTACTGATCGACGCAGCGCTGCTGCTGCCGCTGCCACTGCTGCTGCTGCTGCTGCTGCTGCTGCTGCTGCTGCTGCTGCTGTTTGCGCCTTGCCGGTTTCGAAAATCCAAATAGTAAACAACAACAACTACAACAGCAGCATAGCAACTAGTGTCGGTGGCGCAAATATAATTAAACTTTCGAATGGGATCAGCAGCAACAGCAGCAGCAGCAGCAATGCTTGACAAGTTTTTTTTGTTTTTATTTCGTTTTCGATTATTTTGTTTTTGCTGTGCTTTTCACTCAATTTAAGAGTCGCGCTTGTGCTTTTGAGAGCTTTACTGTTGCTGCTGTTTGCGGCTGCTGCTGCCGCGGCTGTTGCTGCGTTTTTTTCCACTCAATTGCTGTTTGCTTGGGAACGGCATAGTCAAGTTTCATGCCACCAACGATTGCCGTTGAATTCAGTCGTTCAACGAGAGTGACCGCGCACGAAAGCCCCAACAAGCCAACAGCGGAGCCGCACAAAACATCATCAATAACAACAAAAACAACAACAAATTGTTTTATACACACATGTAGAGTGAGAATTGAACGCATATACACACATATATATATGTTGTATCTGTTGTACTAGAACACAGAAGGAGCCTCGAATAAATCAGCAGCGAAATTTGTGCAAGAAAAAAGAAAAGAAAAGTAAAGTAAAAAACAGAAGACCGACCCCCAATCAAAGTACGAGAAGAGTTGCCCTTTCTTTGAGAACATTCTAGAAAACAGCTTTGCTTACCGTTAGGAAAGTACTCTCGCTCCTGCCGTCAACTCTGCTGTCGTCTCCTGCTCTTCTACACTCTCGCACTCACTCACTCTCGCTAACTAAGTCACCTTTGCTTTTGTCACGTCACGACGACAACGACAACGACGACCCTTCAGAAGTTGCGTACGTGCCTGGCTGCCCAAACATATGTTTGCTAGAGCAACACTAACAACAACTGCAATTAAAGCTTCTCAGTCTATTGACGACTGCTGTTAAATCTAACATATGTTTGGCCGCCAGAGGCCGCTTTTGCCTACCAAAGTGCAGTTGTGTGCGTGTGTGCCCAAAAAGCGTTTAACTTACAAAATTTAGCAAAGAAAAGAAAAGTAAAAAAAAAGTTTTTGTCAATTCGTCGCGTTATATACATATATTATATATAAACGTCAACGGAGTGTGTGTGCAGTGTACAAATCAAGACAACAACAACAACAAGTAGAAGTCGCAGAAGAGAAGAAGAAGAAGAGCAGCAACAGTGAGTGCAAGTGCAATTGAAAAAGTTGTCACAGCTGCCCAGCCCCGCCCCGCCCGCACCCCAACTGAAGTGTGCGCACTTGAAATATTTGTAACTCTCTTTTTTTTGCAACAATTTGTGCGGTTTGTGCCGCCCACAACAGATTTTTAAATGAAACCGGAAAATTGGCTAGAAACATCTGCCTCGACATCAGCAGCAGCAGCAGCAGCCGCAACAGCAGCAGCAGCAGCATCAAAATCGGCAGCAGCAGCAGCAACGTACACCAGCAATGCGAAGGTAAATGTCACGCCCACAAAGACACGCCCCACGCCCCAAATACCCCCTACAAAGCACAGCCAGTAACCCACAAGTGGCAGCCACACCCACACATACACCCACCCACCCACACATCCACACACACACACACATACAGCCCATTCGCAATTGTAGCATATGGCGATGAAAAGTTTTCCCGATGCGTAGCTCGTTAAAAATGTGTTTTCACATACCGCGTGAAAGCCATTTAAAATGGGTTATACCCAATAAATACGGGTAAGAATCAGAAGAAAGAATCTTGGATCTTGAGATATATCTGTGTTTTTTTCAGCTAGAAATTACTAGCTTATGGCATATAAATATATATATACAAGTATATATAATATATATACATGTAATAAAAATATGTTGACAATTTGAGCACTTTATCGATCTTCAAGCAAGAGGGTATCTGTTAGTCGAGCACTACAATTATTTGGGTTGGTTTTAGATGTGCGCTTATGGCATTTTGTTGCTCTTGTTGTGGCCCATTAAGTGGCAAGAATTCTGCTTAATTTTGCAGCTCCAAAGTCATTTTGAACAACGTAGTTATAAAAAAAAAGCAGCTCTCTCAAATAGAGACATATTCGAAATGCAGTCGAATTGAATTTCAATTTCCATTTCAATTCAAATTCAATATGCGACATTGATATTCCAGTTCGATACAAAATGCGTGTCACAAATATATGTACATATGCTTAATTTATAAACAAAAACAAATCACATCTATACTATTTACAAAGACTACACACACACGCATACACTATGTATATATACATATCTTTGACTATTTATATATATACACTATATACATGTGTATATATCCGGGTTCATTAGCGTCGCGCGCAGTGAAACCCAATGACTTGGTCAAAACTTTGATGGGGCGCAGAGGAGGAGGATGATGAAGAAGAAGAGGGAGGGGGGTGGGTGCACTGGGCGTTGGGTCACGTGTGACACCCAGGAGGAGGGAGGCCCACCCAGACACATTTCACAAGCGCAAATTACATTTTGACGCTGCAAACCCTCACTAATTACATTACATTGCTCTTTATAATGTGTGTGTGTGTGTATATATATATATATATATATATATATATATATATATATATATATATATATAGCACTTGGCACAATAGTTGCACCTATTTTGCTTTTTTCGTTCGTCTCTTTTTCTATGTCAACTTTGTGCAGGCAGCGCACGTTGCCAAACGCCACCCAATTGGACTCTGACTATCAATTGTGGGCAGCGTGTCTGCTTCTGCTTCTTCTACTGCTTCTACTGCTGCTTCTTCACATATAGATTACACAAAAGAAAATAAATTTAAAAATTGACACACTGCATGTGTGGCGACTGATTTGAGTCGAGTTTCCGAATGTGGAGGAGACTGTTTAATTCAAGTCTTGTATTTTATTCTATTCCATGCTTAAGATTAATGAACGACGTTTCTGCTTAGTCTGGCAACGCCAAGTGATTCCAGCTGCCTGCTATGAAATCCTGCTTACAATTTGTCCCACATTAGTCGAACAGCTAGCAGTAAAATTCAGGCTAGAATTTAGTCTGTACATAATTTCTAGCTTGCAAATTTCGCTCAGTGTGTGCGTCACGGATTCGATGTCATTCAGACCCGGGCAGCAATTATGTAAACAATGCATTGCCTAGTCGCTTTGCTGTGTGTCTCTTTTATTTTTGTTGTTTTTGTTTTTACACTTTTACAGCTCTGTAGCGCCTATCAACTGATAATATTGATTGCCCACAGCCACGTACCAAGATTCTGGAATTCATTTGGTGTTTGCCTTATTGTTGCCACAAGTTACAAAAAGGAAATAAACAAACAATTTGAGTTTATTTGGTGCAAACATGCATATTACACTTAACCAGACTATAAATAAACTCGAGTTATAAATGAATTTATTGATGGGTGTTCATACAACACACGCCAGATGAGTTAAGAGGGTTCTTATGAAACACAGCTGTGGGCACACGCAATGCAAATGGTTTAATTATCAAGATGTATATAAGAATATGTATGTGTGTCAATGATTAACAGATCAATATGATCTACCTGACATTTATCATGTATTTTATGTGCTTTTTTATTTGCCTTTGCTGATTGCTAAGAGGTCGTTAACCTGCCTTTAAAATTGGCCAATCTTTTGGGCAGCATCTACCTGTAAAAACTTTGACGATTATGCTTGTGGCACACGCTCCGCTATCGATGTCTCTTAGCATCTGACCCCATTAAAAGTCATATGGCAACCAACAACTGTCGTTGTTGCCTAAGCTGCGGCACGTTGGCCAAATGAATATTCTTAACTCTTGCCTGGAGCTATTACATATCTCTCTCGAAAATCCGATAGGTAAACGGCCTACGCTTTGTATTATCCCAGTTTTTTTCTTCTTCTATTTTGTGTGATTTATTTCCAGAAATTACATAGAACAAAGTTGCGTGCCGCAGCATAAATCACAAAAACAATATTTTAAGATATGCCAGCAGGGTTTGTGCTTTCAATGCAATATTTAATTAGAATTCTCAACTGGTTTAATTAATGATATAAATGTGTATATTCGTAGTACAACAATACCTTGGCATACATTAACCAGTTACAATGCTCTAGTGGAGAGAGCTCGACTAGGGGAATACCCTAAATGAAGAAGCTTCATCTAATTGCTGTGTAAACTGTTAAAACTGATCAAAATTGAGTCAAGGTTTTTATTGCTATCGGTAATCGATTCTTATCGATAATGGCGATAACTTGTATTCCAAATTTAAAGTATCTACTTCATTAAAACCATCATTATCCATTTCCAATGTTATTAGGGTAGGCTAAATAGAAAAACCCCAGCTGAAAAGTACCGTTGATAAGTAATTGTGCCAAATTAGCAGATAGTAAAAGGGGTTAACTAAAATATATGCTAATGAATGCAGCTGAAAATAATGCAAATGGGCCAAAAGTGGAGCATTGATAATACTCGAAATTCGTATGTAAATTGGTTGAGACTCGAAAGCAATTTGTGTTTGCCTGCTGATGACGAGTTAATGAGTTTGTAATCATAATTACAAACCAAACTCTTGAGTTACCATTAAAGTGTATTGTGATAGATGTTGCGTAACAGACACACAGCCTGAGGAGAGTGAAAAACGATGCTGCAACTGAAGCTGAAGCTAAAGCTGGCCAAAGAACTATTAAAAAGCACTCTGTGTCTGTGTCTATGTCTGCTTCTCTGCTTGTCTGTGTTTAAGTGTCATAAAAACTTCGTTTAACAGTTTTAATTTTTGTTGTTGTCTTCTTGTTGTTTTGTTTTGTTTTATTTTGATGATGCTAGTTACAAGTCACGGCGCTGAAATTGAAGCCAAACGAAATCGCACGCCAATGGTTGGCTTGTCTTTGTTTTTATTTATTGTTGCAATGTGCAATTAGGTTTTTCGGCCTAACGTCACACAACACAACTCTGCCACAAGCAACAGTCGAAGCAACAGCAAGCAAACAATGCAAGTTGCAGGTTTCTTTTTTTGGGTTTTTGGGTTTGGCAATCACTCAAAATAGTTCATATTGTTCGAAATAGTGCATAGACGTAGCTTGAAAAACAGGTTCAAATATGCCATAAAAACAGTTACTATAATCTTAAAAAAAATGATAAGACTATAAAAATCATTTGGGAATATAGGACTCAGTCTAGAACTAAAAACTTTTTTAATATCTATCAAGTTATTATAGCTATAATAATGGTAATAACACTTAAATAGTACTTTTATAACTTTGCAGAACGCATGGGCGTAGCCAGGTTGGGTGGGGGAAGAGGGGGTTCAGATAAACAAATTTGAATTCTTGTTTGAGCAAGTTGTTTGTGTGCATTAACTAAACTCAACAGTTATGCATTTTAGAGGATCATCTAGATTGCACTAATAAATCTTATATAGCTGTCATATAGGGTATGCAAGGGTATGCAATATTCGGCTCATTCAAGTTAACCGCTCTATCTTGTTGACATTAGCAAGAACAAGCCCGTTTCGAGTACCCGGATTTTGTTCTCTTCGAGTGTTTTGGTTTTGTTTTTTATTTTTATTTTTCTGTTTTTGAAATGCAAGCCAGAGCCAAATATCAGGCGGGGCAGCTCTTGCTCTAGTTAATGCGCTTTTATCTTTATTGTCGCTGCTGGTTGTTTGTTGTTGCCAGTTGCTGGTTGCTTGTCGTTGGTGGTTGCTGTTGTTGCTGTTGTTGCTATTGATTGTTAACCTTGATATACGTACGACGCAGCGTACACGGCGAAGGTCGCCAAGTGCGTTGTCCGTCGGCTATTTCATGCACAAACTAAATAGCTAAATAGCTAAGTAGCTAAATAGCTAAATAGCTGTGAGCTATACTGCTGCCTGCTCGTATAGATACGCAGATAAATAGACATACATATTACATATGTCTACGTATGTACATACTTAATGTACGTAATGCATTCGCATTAACATATGTATGTGTGTGTGTTTGGCGCGATTTGACTTTGATTACAATTTTGTTGTCGTTGTTGTTGTCGTTGTTGGCTGCGTTCTAATTAAAAATGGGCGCAGTTTTTCGATATTTCGATATTGTTGCGTTGTTTATTGCTTTTCGTATGCAGAAGCCAAAACGTCAGTTAAGGACAAGAGCACAATGAACAGCCAAATGCTAATTTAATTAAGACTCAAACACAACAAGCACCAAAGTGCTTAGAAGAGACCAAAATAAAGACTTGCCGAGCACAAGGCTGTGCAGAGATAGAATAGAGAGAATAGAGAGGGAGAATACTTGAGAGCGAAATAATGTGAGACGCCTCAATGACCCAGAAGGCGACTCGGGCGAGAGATGCAGCCAAAAGTCCCATTTGTAGATACATTTGTATCTAACGCTGGCAAAGGGCATGGATTTGATGTTGATTTAGGCACTCGATTTGGCTATTTGATGGCTACACTTGATAACAGCAGCTGAAATATAAACACATATAAAAGATA